ACGCGATGACCCTTGTGCATGAGTGGTGGGAAACCAACATGCCTGGAGAACGACTACCCCCTACTATCAACCATATAACGATAGCTTGGTCACCTACCTTACCCACCACCCAACGAATATGAGAAGACCCTCCTAGCAGACCAGATTTCTGGGCTCCCTATGATGTAAACGAGTTTGAAAGCAGCAGTGATGAAGACCAACCGATGGCAGATGTTATAGCTACCTTTATCTAACGGCACACTCCCTATCCGGATACCCTAAAGATGGAAAACTATGAGGAACTGAATGTAAGGCTACGCCATCAGCTTGTGGTACTGTTGGTGGACCGTGGTGCTATCCTACTGGAAAACTACTTCGATACCCTCTTGGTTGATTACGGTCCGAATTGCGAGGACCTACTGGTGGAAGTGTGGGAAAGAGCAGCAGGTATCCGCGATTACTGTGATTTTCATTTCCTTTATTCTAATTGTTTTGTTCAGTTGCGGACATGTGTATTTTGTATTGCTGATGGAGATTGGGCGCTAGCTGATGAGGAATATGGCGAAGATTTTTATGAGGACTTTGATTTTCGGGGTATTGATTTGTTTAAGCAAACAAATGTTTTGTTTTGGGGAATGTAACTGGAACTGGAGTTTAGTCCATTCGGTTCAAGGATTTGTTTTATGTTTTGTTTTACTTGTGGTTTCGAGTAACCTTTGATACTCAGTTTGTTTTACTTGTGGTTTCGAGTATTCTTTGATACTTAGTTTGTTTTACTTGTGGTTTCGAGTATCCTTTGATACTCAGTTTGTTTTACTTGTGGTTTCGAGTATTCTTTGATACTTAGTTTGTTTTACTTGTGGTTTCGAGCATCCTTTGATACTCAGTTTGTTTTACTTGTAGTTTCGAGTATCCTTTGATACTCAGTTTGTTTGATTTGCAGGTTGAGTAAGCGGATACTGGGGAACTCGCCCATGCAGGACATGGACGAAATCTTGTATTTAAAAGACCGCTGAATCCCTTAGAGGAACAGCAGACTTCGACGGACAGACTTTTTCTAATATACTTGGTTGAACGGTTACCTCTTCAAGTCCCTATTCTTTATATCTTTCCCTCGGAGCCTCCCTTAGCGCAGTACGCCCATAGGTTGTGGATCAACTTGTGCGCTACTCCTATTGTACCCGGAAACGTGACTAGCACCCCGGTGCGAACACGTTACACGGCATGTCTTCGGACGTATCGTACTTGGAATCGAGGACCGCGTTTAGCTGGTCGAAGAAGGTAGAGGTATTTTCGCGAGCGAACTTATCTTCGAAGGCTGTCCAAATGGCAGGGGGTGTCTTGTGTGTGGCCAGCAAGATAAGCCATTTTGGATCAATCGTTTCAAGGAAGTAGGCTGAGGCCCACTGGTAACGATGGCGGAAAGAATCTTGAGCATTTTCGTCATTATCGGGTCCGGTAGTTGCTCCTACTTCCGGTAATGTTTCTTCTCCTCTTACTATGTCCCAACAATTGAATAAGGTGAGAACATATTCTGATATATCACGCCAGGTTCTGTAGTTTTCTGGGCCCGTGAGCTTTGGGATTGAGCTCAGTTTGTAGGCGGGTGCCCAGTCTCTCTTAGAGTTGACGGAATAATTTTGTGGCGGTGGGTTGGCAGGGCCTGCGGGATCTATTGGTGGATCTGTAGGAGGAGGAGTCGGAGGGAGTGGAGGTAGCGGAGGGAACGGAGGTTGCTCGAATTCATCTTCGAAATTTTCGTCGGGAGGTGGAAAAGGGGGTCCGGTGAAATCACCAGAATTGGACATAAAAATAGGTTAATAACTTATGTTAAGAGTGTTAACCTATGTTAAGAATCCTCGATCACAGTTATTAACCATCACCCTCCAGAGCCACTACTCGCTCGCTAGAAAGTATGCCTTGCAGCACTGCTGGGGTTCAACGGAGTAGTGGGAAGGGTGATGGAGGACGGCGCTCGTGCAAGCGAGACCTGTGCAAGCGGAGCCTGAGGGAAGAAGAGGACCGGTAGGATTCTGGGTGGCGAGTTCTGCTTTTAAGCAAGGAAATGCCAAGGTATGTTTCGCCAAGAAATATTTCGTGCCGAGGGATGTTTCGTTTCGAAGGATGTTTCGTTTCCGAGAAATGTTTCAAGAAATGTTTCGATTTAGGAATTTTTGTTTCGCTTCGAGATGGAAATGTTTCGCATCGGGTGAAATGTTTCGACAACTGTTGGTAGGTAACGTGTAAGTGTAAGTCGTATAGTTATAGAAGCACTGGGCTCATAACCTGTTTAAATGTGTACGGTACGGCACTATCTTAATAACTTTGTACGAAAATACGACGTAGTAGAGAGAGTATACCATGGGCACGTTAAGTGAGGAGGAGTTTGGTATGAAGGTAGATTGGTAGTAGTTCTTGTCTGTAGTTCTCTTAAGTGAAATGGATGGTGACGCCTATTTATACAGGTGTGCATCCTTTAAGTAACTTTAGAGGAAATATAAGGGAAAACATAAATGTCGACATGTTTGACCATAACATAAGTAGGAAAACATAAGTGCAAACGTGTTTGACCCTAAAGAACTGCCAAGGGAATCCCATAAAACATGCGTATATCTGAAGTGGTGTGAGCGGATAAAATGTAAGAAATAAACCTGAACACCAGATAAGAAAGCACGCCATAATCCCCTAATCATATCATGAAATATTAATGAAATATACGTAATACATACTCCAGCTGTAGTAATGTTTATAATAATACCAAGTAGAGAAATATATGATATTATCAAGGAAAATATACATATGAAACGAATTAGGAAATTCAACAAAGGAAACGTGATCTAATTGCGGGTTGATGTGGGGTGTTAGCCCTGCCCTGCCACAATGGGGTGGTTGCCAGCAATTTTGCGACTAAGGCTTTGGCGGACCCTAGGTGGGGTTCAAAGGAAGGGGTTCGCCAACCCTGACCCTCCTTTTTGATTTTTGCTTTTTTCTGCACAACCAGAGCCTTTCCCCGCAGTGGGGCCTGAATAACATGTAAACCTGCTGAGATCAAACAACATTCATGAAGAGGAGTTCTTTTCCGCACTGTCAGTTTTCTGAGAGGGATAGTATTAATCAAGGCATGCGGGCAGGGATGTTGAGGGCAACCGAAGAATATATTCTAAATTAGTTTTTTCACTCTTTAACTCTTATTTTGACTGTATAATATTGCTGTCTTCTTTAAGCAATTGTAGCATGCGGTACTTTTGTGGGTATTCAAAACCCCTTCAGACCTTCGGAGGGGGGGTTCATAAATATGAGCCCCAGGGCGTGTGTTGAATTTTATCATTAAACCCCCCTTTCATACCAACACTGGTCTCCAGACCTGGGCGTATCTCTTTTCACTGCAAAACAAGAAGGGACACAGCCGGCCTATGTGGGGGGACGTGTGCGCCGGGGCATCTAACAAATCAGCGGATGGCATACCAGTACTCGTGGAGGGTCGCTAACCAATCTCTTGCACGGGGCAGAGCCCAGGGCTGCCGGGAGAATGCGCATCATCTTTTCGGGACCGGGGCTGGATGTCTCACAATGTTGCATTGCATTAACCTACCGGAACTGCCAGTAGTAAGGTTGGCATCATAGGGGAAATCAAAGGTCTTAGTAAGAGAATGGTCTCGGCTGTTGGCAGCGGCAACCGAATGTCCCCCCCAGTACGAGTAGTAGGCCAGTAGATCTGACTGGCACATTATCCTATTGGATTTTGTGCGGCATGGCCCAAGTAAGTGAGGTACCGGTAGTGAATTTTAAACTTTACAGGATGGTGGTCCCAGCACTGTATAGTAAATTTACAAGTACCGGTACTCGGGTACAAGTATCATACTCATCTGCAATACCCGTACTCGAAATCGTATCGATTCCGATATGATCAACTTGGTCAAAACACGCGGGGTTGTTTACTTGGGTACACTTTCCGTCCACCTACGTAGAGTGTAACTTCCTGCACACCTAGTGGCACTAAAGCCCATGCGGTGAAAGAAACTTGATCTTTGCTGAAACGGTAGCACGGGGGCTGATATACCGCTATTTGAGTAATATCATTTTTGGCTTGCAGTTGCGCCGACAGCGACTGGGCATGCAGCTGCCATTCTTGTGCACCAGTGCAAGCGCTGCGCATTTCGGAGCCCCACTCTTGGAGCACTTAAGAAGGACCTTGCTCCGAAAAGATACGCTCCACGTGCAGTTGATGCATCCCCGAATCCACAGTTGGAAAGCATAACGGAAAAGTTCCCCAAGCTTCCAGGACCCACCTCGAAATTGAAGCCCCACTTTTATTCATCTATCACCATTGAAAGGTAGCGATCTCTCATAGCAACTTACACTCGCCCTCTTAGACCCAGAAAATTCAGGAGAAAAGAAATGGCGGAACCGTTCTCGCTTGCTGCCAGTGGCTTGGCCCTCTTCCACCTCGGCGTGAAGGTTTATCAGCTTTGCGATGAATACCACGATGCAGTCAAGGAGAGTGAACACGACTTCAAGAGACTGGCGGATGAGATTAGGAGTATTGACGAGCAGCTGAAGGAAATACAAAGCCTTGCTGCACAAGGCGATGAGAACAACCCACGATACCCTAAACTTCTGGCCTGGACCAAAAACGAAAGTTTGAAGGGTTATGCCACAGCCCTCGAGAAGCTAGAAAAAAAGTTGGATGTTCAGGGATGGAGAAAATCGTCGAGAAAGTATCTTTGGCCTCTTCGTAAGCCCAAACTGGAGCGCTACCTAAGCTTGGTTGAACTCCAGAGATCAAAACTTCAGCTGTTGCTGGCTACGGCCACAGCGTAGGTTCTCCATTCCTTCATAACGGAAGAATCTAATTTCTCCACTGCTTTTTTTTCTTCCGGTGGTAGGGCTGACTAGTTGTTTAGGACCACGGTAACAAAGATGTCGCGAACACAAGATGGTACTTGTTTACAATATTCCTAACCCTACCAATAATTTTCTTGACTAATATCGCGTGTCCTAAAACCCCAGAAAATAAATTCCAGAAAATACAGAAATGGCTTAACGTTGTTGATCCAACCACCAATTATTCAACTGCACTCGCGCTTCGCGAACCCGGTACGGGGAATTGGCTCCTCCAGGGACGCGAGTATATCGATTGGAAGGAACGCAGAGGAGGGGTTCTCTGGCTTCACGGTATACGTAAGTTTACCGACGAGTGAAATCTTATGTGTCTAAGAATGTCATTAATATTTGTCTCTTGTAGCCGGATGTGGCAAAAGTGTCTTAAGGTGCGAATTCAACCGGGTATCCGAAGGTGTAATATGATTTCTCGATTGCTAACTCTGGCATTAGCGCCACTGCCATTGAGGATGTTGAAAATGTGTGCAAGTCCAACGGCGATCACGCATTAGCATATTTCTACTTTACTTTTAGTGACTCGGAGAAGCAAAATTTGGAGAATATGCTTCTATCCATCATTGGCCAACTTCCAAAAAGGCCTTCGGAGTTGGATTTACCGGCCGAGGTTGTAGATCTGTACAACAGCACCGGGGCAATTCGAAAGTCGGCGGGTACCAAGGCTCTGAAAGGTGTATTGTCACGGATTATAAAGGGTTTCAAGAAGACATTTATCATTTTAGATGCCTTGGACGAGTTCCCGAAGGCCATGCGCGGGAGCCTCCTATCTTGGATTGGCGAGCTCAGGGCAGATCATAATGAGGGATCACTTTCGATTCTTGTCACTAGCCGTCCCGAGGGCGATATAGTAGGGTCACTGGAACGACTTGACCCTTTTGCAATATCACTACAATCCAGCATCATCGATCCGGATATCCGCGCATATGTGCGGAACTCTCTAGCAGGAAAGGATGGTTTCCGGGAATTTACGCAAGGAATCAAGGATGAGATAGAGGAAAAGCTTGTTTCGGGTTCACAGGGAATGTGTGTTATGCCCAATCCTTGAATTCCTACTTATGCTAATCTTGCGGCGCGCGTTTCCAGGTTCCGATGGGTAGATTGTGTCCTGCGGGTTGTGGAAGAATGCATAACGCCAACATCTGTGCGGGATGCATTAAAAGAACTCCCGAAGGACTTAGACTCTATCTACGAGAGGATCCTCGATACCATTCCTGAGAAGCAGAAGGAATATATTCGGCGCGCGATGAATTGGCTGGCATTTTCGGCGGAACCATTGACATTAGGCCAGCTTGCGGAGGCCATTGTGATAAAATACGACGTCAACAAGTATGGAGAGGATTCGGAAGATCTTTTTGACATGAAGTCCCTCATGAGCATTTGTCCTAGCCTTATTTCCTTTGAAGACGCCGGGGACGATGAATCCTCCACGCAGGGAAGCCGGCGATTAAGGCTAGCACATTTCTCGGTAAAGGAATATTTGATCTCCGATCGGGCGGCTCAGGCCTCCAGTGCTTACTATCATATCTCAGAAGATAAAGCCCATTTACGGATGGGGCACGCTTGCCTTAGTCGAATACTACGGCATAGAGGAGGAGGTACTATGCGGCTCAACAAAGTCGAACGAATGTCGTTTCTCTACCACAGTGCTCGCCATTGGTTCACGTACTTTAGACCAATCGAGTATATGGCGCCCACTCCACTCTCCGAGGCTGCGGTAAAGGTGCTCGAGCTTGGCCAAGCCTGGCTAGATATATATGACCCCGACGATCCCTGGCGGGGTGAACCCGAGGATTCCGGGTCTTACCCACCAGCAATCTACTATTGCTCCTTGTTGGGTCTAGCGACGGCCTGTAAATTACTAGTCAACAGAACGGAGGATAGGGTAAATGTGAATGCTTCGGGTGGCGAATATGGCAATGCACTACAAGCAGCTGCATCAAACGGAAATGAATCGGTTGTGGGACTTCTCC